CTACATAAATGGCTCTAAGTGCATTCATGTGTTGAATAAACAAAGATTACATGTTAATGTTTTGTTAGTACCCTTATTTCATTGTGTTACATTTTACCCCAGGATATGTTACAACTAAACCAGACTATGGGGTTAATTGTAACATTTCACTCTTTGTGTTTGAGACCATACCATGCAATGGGTAATTGTGCTGCAGAGAAAATAGCTGCATTATTTAATAGCAGAGACATGTAAATACTTTGCATTACATTTTGAATCCACTACCTTAAAAGAGCTCCAATTTACAGACAGAAATGTCAAAAATGTTACAACTATCTCCGGTCTCCCCTATTGCAAATATCAAACAAACACAAAACTCTGTACTATCTTTTACTTTTTTATTTTCATTTTGCCTTATATAATTGTGTTTTTATTGCTTTTCAAAAACCGTTTTCTATCCTTTTCTAAAAACTTTTTAACTTTTCCTTTCTCCCTTGGTTTAGGCGTATGGACTGTTGGTGGACTGGAAGTTTCCACAGGTAAAGTGTCTTCAATCGAAGCAATGAATGGCTCCACGGTTTTGTTGCCCTGCACATACTCTTCATGTATTGGCATCGAAAATCTCTACTTCAACTGGCAATATAATGACAATGGAACTCTCATAAAGGTACATGCACACAACCACAACACCAACAGGGATACAAAAATGCATAAAAATAGTGATTCCTGACATTTTCATATGTTTCGTGTCTCATCGCATAAACAGTCGGTGAGTGTATGCTGTTGTATTTCTGAAGGCATGGGGATACAGTTTTGTTCATAAGTATTTTGATGCACAGATAGTTCTTGTAATTTTGCCTTTGTTAACTATCACATGTGATTTTTTTTTTTTTTTTAGTACAGCCTGTATTAACTGTTTAGGAAATGCAGCCATTTTTTAATACACAGGATCTGCTTTTATTATTTGAAAAGCCTCTGTAGGTTATGACGGCCTGAAGTCTAAAATTCACGAACATCACCAAATGCTGTGTTTCCTCCCTTGAGATGCCAGGCCTTTACTGCAGTCACCTTCAGCTGCTGCTTGTTTGTGGGTCTCTCTGCCTAGAGGTCTGCCTTCCGCAGTGTTGGAAAGGTTACTTTTAAAGTGTATTCCACTACAAATTACAGAATACATGCCCCAAAATGTAGTTTTTAACGTATTCCGTTAAGCTACTCAGTGTGAGTAACATATTCTGAATACTTTGGATAACTTAATATATTGTCGTGTTTTTTTACAACTACGTGAATGTACTATTGTTGTGTGATTTATTACTATTACTGAAGGCTTCCTGCCACCAAAATCACATTGTTAGCTTGCGTTAGCTGAGGTTAGTTCATAGACTGCTTTCAGAATTGCACATGATTATTTGCAGCTCGCAGGTTGTTAATGTTTAAGCAGGTCTAACAATCTGCAGTCTATGAACTAACTTAGGCTAACGCCAGCTAACAATGTTAGTTCGGTGGCGAGTAGCATCCAGTAATAGTAACAAATCACTCAGCAATAGTACATCAGAGATACTGAAGTGGCACATAACCCAGGTAGCTACCACAACTAAAACAAGGTAGCTGCAGTAGGCTAACATTCATTGTTAAAAAAGAACTTACTTCCAGATGTTTGTTTAGGTTGGAGTCTTTTGACGCTGCGAGCAGCTTGGTTGCTGGCAAACAGTGTTTGCATGGCATGGTCAAATTCACCCATCCCTTTCTTCTTTAAATATGAAGTGGTGTCGGAATTTCAAAGTAAGAAATCCATTCCTGCTCGTACTCTGCTGGCTCTGTTGTGCTGTCGCTGGGTCCATTGTGTAACTGACACCACCAATGTTAATGGAGCCTCTTATTTCGTGTCTTGTTTGGGTTTCTGGCTATGTGTGGAGTTACCAAAATTGGAGAGGTGATAGCCTAAGAAAAGACCGTTGTGTAATCCAGTTATTTCAACAAAGTAACTATATTCTAATTATCACTGTTTTAAACGGTAACTGCAAGGGAATACAGTTGCTCATATTTTGTATTTTAAATACGTAACACCAGGTCATGTATTCCGCTACTCCCCAACACTGGACTTCTAAACTCTACTGAAAAGAATGCTCTGGTGGAAAGCATGTTCTGATATCATGTGACTCACTTGGTCATTTAATTAAATCCTGTTTCTTTGTCTTGAGAGGCTCTTTGGTTGCTTGTGCAGTATACATTGGGTGATTAACGATTTGCACTTTGTGCTGCCCAATAAATTTTTCAACATTTGTCAGGATCTGAGGAGCAATTGTAGCCCTGTACATTTCAGAATTCATCCAGCCACTGACAGCAGTCACGTGATCCGTAAACACAAGTGAAAGAGTTCTGTTGCAAACCATACATACCTATGCCATTATATTGGCTTCACCACGCTTCAGATCATTATTTTTTCTTTTTTTTTTAATCTTTAACCATTGGTTTGCATCTTGTTGTAAATGCTCTGTATTTCCATTAATCAAGACATCTGTTGATTGTAGACTTTGACAATGATGTAGCTACCTCCACAGTGTTGCTGACTTTGTTAGAAGTTGTGAAGGAACTTTTTTCTTGACCAAAGAAAGAATTCTATGATCATTCACTTCACAGGTGTCTCCACAGGTTTCCCTGGCCTTTAAGTCTTGCTGAGCTGCCCGGTTCATTCCATCTTTTGATCAATGTGCCAAATAGGTGATTTGGCCACGTTTTGTTTTGTTTTTTAGCTTGATTATGGCATAACTACATGTTCTTTCAGACAGCTACCAAATACAAGTTCAAGTCCAGATCACAATTTCCTTAATATTTAAGAAAGTGTCAAGGGACCCTTTACCTGGCCATAAAACTGCTTGTCAATTATTTTTGAGTCTCTAAAAATGGGGAACTATATATAAAAATGCCCAAACAGGTAATAAAACACTTTTGTTAAACCCCTTGAATTAAAGTCTTTGGTTTTCAGTGTGATGTGGTGGTGTACAAAGGCAAAATTACAACACAGTGTGTCATCATCCCAATGCTGTGTAGCTGACACCCAATACTGTGTATCTAAGGAAATATCTTGTGTGTAGTTATGTGAAGCGTTGATCCCTATGGAGGGTGTGGAGCCGAAGGTCCGTGTGTCCCATGAGCGTGTTGAGTTTGTCGGCTCCTCAAAGAGTAACAACATTTCGATCTTGCTATGGAATATCACCTTTGAAGATGAAGGAGAGTACATCTGTTTTGCCAGGAATCCAAAAGAGAAGAACCGAAACCACAGTGCTATCTTCACTCTTATAGTGGTGGATCAAAGTATGTAAAAGTTGCACAAACACCTGGCATACAAAAATAGAGCTTTATCTGACTTTCTGACTGACAGTGTTTATAAAGTACATATACAAGTACATATATGCTACTAGCATCTAGTTTCAATCTTGTTAGAGCTCTAAGTCAGTTTTTACATACTCTGTATACTTGTTTGTCCTCACAAAGTCACTGTCTCTCTCTCTCTCACTCTCTCTCTCTCTCTCTCTCTCTCTCTCTCTCTCTCTCTCTTTCTCTCTCTCTCTCTTTCTCTCTCTACCTTTTCAGTGAAGGAAGTTGACAACACTTTGACAATCATTATTGTCTCAGCGTTGGGTGGAGTCATAGGCTTAGTTATCATTGTCATGGTGATAAAGGCTGTTGTTGTTCACTTCCTGCAGAAGGATGATGAGAAAAAGTGAGTAGATCATTGACTATCTTATAAGGACATTTAGAACAAATCAACAACACTGATTATAGATAATTTTTTTATCATATATATTTGGGTCAGCTACAGTCAAACAGCCAAAAACTGTGTATTGCTGGCAAAAAGAAATTTGGTCTATTATATGCTAGTTTTATAACTGTTTCTACAAATTTAACATCTTGTGAAATAGGGTGTAAACATTTGTGAAGTTTTCACCATTAATGAAAAAAAATTCCAGCTTTTAAGGAACCATTGAATTTTTTTTCCTGATATGGTTTTTATTCATATATTTTTATTCATATACATATGTTACAAGTCCTATGATGTCATTGACTTTTGCAGATACTATAGCCTGCAACACGCAGCTCAAAACTCATCACATAAGCATGTAACATAATTTATTCTTATACCTGCAGCAATATCAGATGCACGAAATGTACAGAAGTTATGAATAATTAAGTGTGGTGAAGTACTGTTTATATTTCCTGTTTAATCACACAAGTAATGCACTGTTACGGCAACACAATTTTTCAGACAAGACATACTGACATGAAGAATAAGACAAGTGATCTTTATACATACATGTCGTAAATAATATTTTTATGTACTACAAATATTTTTTAAATGTGCAAGTCTTATTTGATTTCTAAAAAGTATAACAAAAAGTTTGAATGTTGGAAATAAAAATGAAAGAAATTGCTTGTCATACTCCAGTTTGCAAAAGAAGTAAAATTATTAGCTTTCTGTTATCTTTTTTATTGACATAAAAAGTGCATCTAGCAGTGAAAATCTGATATTAGAGGAAATTCAAATGTGTTACATCATAATTTCAAGAGTATTTGCTTTCATATAACAAATGAACAATTTATATTCGATGAATACAACTAAAATCATTGTAACCTTTATGACTAGGTCTAATGTCATATCATCAACACCAGTTCATATAAAACTACATTATTTACTGAAAAATAATTTTGTGTCACAAAGATTTACCCTGTTGTTTGACTGTGGCTGACCCAGGCACTCATTTGGCTATGTTAATAGATTTTTTTGTATTTTTCTAATTAAAATATCTGATGTAATCAGTAATGGTTTTATGCTGACAATATAGGTTAAATTGTCTCAGAACAAAGTGGGCAATTATTATGAATCTGTTATATTATATAATAACAAAATAATGTCACCCATATTCTATGTTTCCAAAACAAAATTATTATTTGAAGCTCATTGGGTTAAGTTTTTTTAAAACCCCTGCAATTTATATGGCACATGGCCCTTATCGCTTGTATTTGTCTCCTTTTATAGGTGTTCAATATAACCTTTGTTTCTCTTATCTCTACAGTAAAGAGTGCCTAGTGAGCTCCTCAGGGAATGACAACACAGAAAATGGTCTTTCAGGAGCCAAAACTGAAAACAAAGGGACACCAAAGGCTTGAACAAAATGTTAAGTATGCCTACATGTTTGTATATATGTTAGACAAATGTACACACTCAGCGAAAAATCAATTATCTTACTAGCGGCTAACAAAAACAACTTGTAAAAATGTCTATTTTAAATCATGCTTGAGATTTGGGAAGTGTGAAGTGTGCATAGGCCTGGATCTCTCTCACTTACCATGGTAGCCCATTTGTTCCACTGTACAGCTTCTGCTCCACTTTCTTCACATTGCAATCTCCAATTTATGCAGTTGATGTGTTATTTTTTTCTATGTACTTTCTTACTATCTAATAACATTCACACTACGTTAAAGCAAAAACGCATCACAAGGCCGAAATCTTTTTTATACACCCAATGTCAGTATTCAGTTTCCAGTCCAAAACATGCTTTACAGTATCAGCTGAGAAGCTACAATATGTTGGATTCTTAGTCTGGAACTCTACAACTCCAAGTGAAACTTGGACTTAGATATACTCAACCAGTGGGAACAAATATCTTTGATGCCATGTTGAACTGCCATAATGAAAAACTGCCAGGATGTCAGTCAAAGAACAGCACAACACTGCTCAAATTCTTTCCCTTAGCTCTCAAATGATATAAACGCACCTGGATGAAAATAAGCCAGGTGGTAACTGACTAGAAGTTTGGTTATAAAGAAAAGATAAATTTTTTTTGTCCCAATCACATAAATTGTTTATAAATAAAATAGGAAGTTTTACATTTTAAACACTGACTGTAAAATTTGTATTTTGCCATTTTAAACACTGGGCGCTGTTTTACTGATTAACTGTGTTTGAAAGGTAACGAGTAAATCCCAACTGTTTCCAAAGGATCTTTCTGACATTAACCTCTGAAATGCCAATTTTCATGTGACTTCTGGGTTCAGATTAGACACACTGCTGGTTTGTTTGGGCCAAAGATTTTCTGTGAAATGCTGGTTAGCAGGGACTAACAAATGGGCTTACCTTAGGTGAATAAAAGATCCAGTTCTGCACAGGTTTTATTGTTTTGCTTTAGATAAACACAGGTGCCTGTTCTGCTTCTGCTCCCTTGGCTGGTGAGAAGAACTTACATAAAAAAAAAGAAGAACCCTAACCACCATCAAAGACAATCCCCAGACCCAGCTCCCTATTGAAAGGAATGAACTTAATCATGCTGCTTCTGACTAATAACCAATGCATTTTGAGCATGTGCACATTTTATATAGCTTCGTAAAGGATTATATATTACACCATAATACAGGAACATTGCTGTGTGTCTCTGTTTGGTCCCCTCCATGCTGGCCAGAACTGCGGGAAGCTCTGTCAATGCTCATCTCAACACTGCTGCAACTGTTTAACACCTTTTTAGCTGCGTCAGGGTTATTGAAAAATAACTTTTAGAATATTGGCCGACAAGTTTACTGTAGAAAAATTAATAAATGAAAGAAAGTTTACACTTATTGAAAAAGTGAGAACATTTTAGCAGCTCTGTTTAAGTGAAAGAATTGAAAAGCCCTGCCAGAGGAGTTTGAGAAGCTGCTTGATGGCTTATTAGCCGGATATCCTTATAAGCACATGCAGCTCAAAATGCTAATTTCCAAATTTACATGTGGATTCAATGAAATACATATAACTCAAAGGAAACTTGCCAAACCCATCAAGAATATACAAGTCCAGTAATATAGCCTTGGTAGTGCAGGTAGCATTGTCTTGGGGCAGCTCACTGCAAAAGAATGTAAAGACTGTTGGGCAGTCAAATATTGTCCAAAATGTATGTTTTCATTCAGTACAAAAAATATATCAAAGAAATATTAATATTATTCTGAATTGAATGTGTGTGAATGCCCCTCAAGGGCAGTCATAAGTGCTTGTTGGTCAGCTACATTATTTTGTGTACATCTACAACTGGCCAAAACTGAGCATGTTATAGAGTTTAAACTGATAAAATTACTACTTGACTGTATTTAAAACCCTGACCATTGAAGATTTTAAACTTTTTGTTCAGACTTCACAAACAGCCCCAGTGTTGATCTTAGCTGTTTAAAAGGGACGTCGGTTGATGTTGCTGAGAGTAAATTGAGCAATTTTAAATTAAAAAATGTTTAAGTAAATGCTTAAATGTGCACAATATAAACACCAGTACATATTTCTTTCAAGAAACGCCGAATTGGAAAATGTAACAAAATCTTCATAAATTCACATTTCTGTTTCATTCTTTCATAAGTCAACAAGGATCGGTTTACTGCTAAAATGCCCCTGGGAAATTAGAACCACCTCTCTTTGTAGTTTGTAGTCACAGTCACTTTGACGTCCTTTCTATGAGGACCGCAGACATGCTCTGCATAAATAGTTTGAACAGCTGAAAGCTACATACATACATTACACGCTACTACACAAATACCCACATAGGAGGATTCATTTTGATACCAGAAAACAGCTCACTGGCCTTGCCTGCAAACAACACAGCACTTTATCAGTGTTAAAGTGGTTTTGTTACAATGGCAAATCACGGAAGTGGCCTCACAGTTGCCATTCTTTTATACTATATATTAAGAGAATTAACAAAAACTCAACATTCTCACTTTGTGTTTGTCATTTTGAGCGAGTACCTGACAGCAGCACTGTGTCAAATGGTTTTAACTTCGAGTACATGTTCACTTACTGGAACAGAGCTCTATGACAAGCTTTTATTTTATTTTTCTATTTGTTCACGTCTGTCAGCCTGCTCCTCTCTAATACTGGAGTGCATTTCCCTTGCCTTCAATGGAAGCAATAAGACAGATATCAGATTATGCAATAACCTGTTATAAGGCACTTTAAAGATGTGTCTGGACTGGCTGGTAATTCTGTCCAAGGCACTGATCATTGTACCAATATATGTATCCACACCACAGAAATGTATCTCAGCTGAGTTTAAGTATGGTGATTAGGATCATATATCTACAGCAGATGGTTTTGTCTGCATTGGATCAATCTATATTAGGTCCCATTTACACTTGGCTCAAAATTCCTTGAGCAGATGAAAGCTGTATCAGGAAAAGCTTGAACCCAGGCCCGCATTATAACACATGTCTAACATATTACCCCATTTGTACTTTGCTATTTCATAAAAGTTGTATCTAGATGGAATAATAACACAGTGGTGGCCCTGGGAGTTCAGGGTGCTGCAGCTGCAGTTTCTGTTTTCGCTGTGGATTATTTCTTTGTTAGTTTGTTGTTGTTTTTGTATTTATTACTTTGTCAAACTGTTGAAGATGTGTCTCAGTATGCTTTTATTTACATTTTTTCAATATATGTTTTACTCAGAGCTCTCGGGGCTACTGTACAAATGGGCTAAAAACACCCTAATTGACACTGCCAACTGACAAATATGAAATGCCCTACAAGATAACCAATGCGCTGCCCCCTTACAGGAATACAATATATTTTTCTGTGTGTAATATAAAAGCAGCCATCGTTGCAATCACAGAAAACATCATAACTGACCTATTACGAATGTTCTTGCTTTGGAGTCCTAATTATAAGATTTGATGTTATGTACTGAGTAGTTGTTTGGTTGCACTTATGTGTTTGAGGGATGCATTTAATTACCATTGGAAGGAAAGGTGTAGAATATGACCTCAATTGACTCACGCAATCAGGTTTCATACAATATATAAAGTACAACGCATATGCCCAAGAAGCACAAGTGTTTATTTTATTATACATTACTAAATAGTGTAAGTATACGCTGAGTATAAATGGGATCAAGAGTGAAATGTGATCAACCTTAACAGTACAATGTTAGAAGTGAATATATCTTGGTGAACCTGTAAAAATGTGAATGACGTGGATGTAAGGCATCACACACTGTCTAAGAGTTATGGGACCCCTCTGTAAAGAGGGTATATACATCCAAAGTCTTCCTGTTAGGGAAAAGCAATATTGTGGAGTAAATGTGTCCGTTAGTGTACTTTTCATAACCCTGACACTCAAAATACAGTATAGGTGGATTCACATAATACATAACTCAAACCTCACTATTTGTGTTTACGGATTTTATTCTTAATTTAAAGAAGAAAAACAAATGATAATAAAATACTTAAAAAACAACAAGCAGCAAATTAGGCATATGTATCTGAGCGGGTTATAAGAGGTATGTACTGTTTTAATAACAACCATAACTGATGTGATAAAATATGTATATGTGATGGGGAGAGGAGAGCTGTTTTAATGCATAACGCAGGTCTGGTTTTGGTACAGTTGCCTTTATAATCGTAAGACATTGTACTAAGCATTGAATGCATTATTATTATTGTTATGTTTGTTTGTTTTTTCATCTTTGGTGTTCTGATCTGTCCTGTCTTCCTCCAAGAAACACCTATACCGAACCTCTTATGACTCTTGAAGTTAGCCAACAGCTTGCAGTGATTGCTGCAGTACTGAGTGTGCACAGTACAGTGTACAATGCTCCTCTGCAGTGGTGCAATACAGCACGCCAAATACAGTATGACTGCCACCCAGTGGTAAATGCCCCTGTAGTACAAGCCATGGTACTACTAGTGTGCATTTTGATTTGGACTATGAGGATTGCACATTATCAAACCATTGCCACAATTTTCAGAGTTACAGCAGTTCAAAGATGTATGATTATGCATCATGTTGCAATTGTTTCTCCTGCTTTATATAGTGCTAGTAGTCTAATGGGGAGGTGTGATGTATAAGTTTACACGAAAATATTAGGAAAAAAATACATTGAACAATAAACCACGTATGAACAGTGGTTGTTCATCAGACTACTACTGGTGAGCATAAAATGGTTATAGACAGCATTCGTACTGCTGTAACATTATTCACTAGGTAACACAGTATTGTGAATTCTCATTGACTAGTATGATTTTTTAGAGTTAGTATTGCTCTTACTGCCAGAGCGGGTGAAACTCATACTGCCAATCCAAGAGTCTCATGTCTGCTGTTGTTACAACACGATTATAATGACACGCAATCTATTAACTACGGTAACACTACTAAAACATGATGTTGCATTACTGTCTACTGCTGTATAAAATGCATATGAAAGCTAATCTGTATATGATGATGCTCTATACTACTTCTGTATTTCTAGCAGCTGAAACTCACACTGCCAAGCCAAGAGTCTAATGTCTGCCTCCCACATTCCACACCAGAGCTGCAACTATTAGTCAGTTACTTAGTCAAGAAAAGGAATTGACAACTATTTTAAGGACATAGTTTGTAAGTCATCTTTCAAGTAAAAAGTGCCCACATTTTTATAGCATTGCGTTCTCAACATTTTCTGGGTTTTCCCCTCTTACACATTATAGGAAAGATTAATATAGTTCAGAAAAAATGGAGTTTTTTGTCTTTTTTGATAATTTGAATTTAACATTAGTGGTAAAAATACTAAACTATGATTCATATTGTGATTTAAACAAATAACTAACGTTTGACAGACAAAGACATCGAGAATTTCTTTTAGGTTTCATTTATAAGCACTGACCTCTCCACATGCTGTTACTGCAGTCCTGCATTTTAGAGTATTCTATCAATATTTTACATATTCTGGGGCTGCAAAACATAAATCTATCCCAAAAAAATGATTTTACAAGGTCATATCTAGAGCAAGCTAAGGCCACTGATAGCATACAAATTATAGCAATTGATAGAAAGTCGTACTGTTGCAGCAAATTCTTATGTTTTTTTTACATTACTGTAGTCTGTTCAACATACACACA